TTTCCAGAAAAAACTCTTGAGAAGCTTTCATATGTGAAACACGTGTTTTTTAGGCCCAAATAACGGAGCAGCAGAATTTGGCTTCAACGGAGCAGAAACTGCAGGAAGAGTTGCACGTCGAACAGGCAGTTCAGGATATTGTGCGTCTAATCAAACAAGATGCGCGCACCGCGCTTCTCATTGTTCAGCTACTCAGGCGATATCAGCTCGAAAGAAGTCAAGTACGTTGCTAGCCCACTGTGCAGTTTCCCCAAAGATACAGATGACATGTCAGTTGGCTCCATCCAGAATATCTGTCTTGAGCAGGTGGTCCGCTTCTCCGGAGCAACATTTTGCAAAGGAAAAACCCCGTCATAGTTGCGTTTCTTTTCCCTTTTAGCCATCTTACTGATGTAGACTGTAAGAATTGGACATCACTTTTCAAATCGTTTTGTGCCTTCATCTCGACCTTGGACTCAATCCCAAGCAAATGGCATAACTGCTAGCATCAAATTTTGGAGTGAATGCACCTAAATGTGTGCAAAGCCGAAACCCTCTTAAAATATTATTCCGCTATTGCTTTTGCAGAGACAGGGCACCCACTGGTTTGGAGGCACTGCAGAATTCTTACTAGGATCTTTGAATTATCATAGAATATCATGTTCCAGGCTGTTACTGCAGCCACGCAAGTGGACGACGATCATCACTGTGAGGCTGAAGTGCAACACAGCGCTCACATTTCATCGAATTCCCAGGAACTGGTGCCAGTAGGCAAGTCGCAGCAGTGCATCTCTTCCATGGATGCTCCGATGGAATCTGTCCAAAGTACACTTCAACAAAAAGCCAATGACACTACTGTAGAGGAAGATGAACCGCAGCCATGTACTCAGATCACTCTTCCTCTTCCAAAACCTAAAAGCCGGAAGAAAAACAGTGTGACCAGGTGGGTCAGTTCGATAGATTTAGCGTCTCGTAATAGGTCTTTTTTAACGCTGGAAAAGAATATAAAAACTTTAGTTATTTTGTCTTAAATTACGTTCCAAATGCATTGAACACCACGGATGTCAGGAGCTTTGAATTTGAATCTTAAAAAAACGCAGTTATTACTGTACATTGCTTAAGCTTGTAACTGTTAGTGAAATATTTTGCAGGACAAATACAAAATCCGATAACACGGATACACAGGAGAAGGCGTCCGGACATGTGGATATGGAAGAAATTTTTAAAAGAGTTTTAGAAAACGCTTCGAAGGCTCTGGCGGAAAGTAGTGCAGAAAAAAGGCTGAAAAGTTGCACGGAATCTTCCTCATCACGTGCGCCAGAACACTTTCAGATAGAAAAGACTACAGCCAGTTGCTCAGAACGACAGGAACAAAGAAGCTGCCTTGTGGATGAGAATAGCAGCTCGACGACAGCCACTTTGCCAAGCTGTGAGCAACTCATGCAGCCTTTTGTTGTGAGTTGCTTTGCCTCGCTTGATTTCTTTTATCATTTTTCGTGAAAAGAAAACTGACGACAACTTCTTATTCGTCAACAGTGCATAGATATTTCGTTTTGATTTTTAAAAAAATTTCAACTCATTTCTCTATTTATATCCTTTTTCCGTACTCTGCAAATTGGCCTCTCTTCACTCGGAGAACAATGCAGGAAAAAAATAGCACTTTTTAGTCAAATACGCCACCAGCAACAACATATAACGTGAGCCAGGGAATGGAAACTGATTTAGTCAACGGTCATTACGAGGAACGCGTTGAGGTGCTCGAAGAAGGAGCTGTTGATGCACCGCAGAGTTTCCAGTACTCAAAAAATCAGGCTTTTGATGACCTTATGGACGTTTTGCGGGATGATCAAGGTAATCTTTTGTTCTAATTCCTCATGAACTTCCAGTTGAGGATGGAAGGCGGGGAGTGGGAGTGGCAAGATTAGGAAGAGAAAAAAAAATGGGGACGGAAGGGGAGGACAAGAAGGAAGCGGAGGGTTGCGGAGTGGTAAAGTTGAGAAGTATTTTACGCTCCCATCGTATGTTTATTTTTGACATGAAAGGTCCTAACTTTTACGAGCTCTAATTCATGCATCTTAGCTGGCATTGGCGATTCGAAAACGAATGTCCCAGATTTTGAAGCGGCAACAATTTACGGATCGGACGAGCTGGCTACTTTGCTAGGTGATGACTGGTTTCAACACGATTGCGCCATGTCAGATTCTCAAACAGCCGAGCGTTACATTGCTTGCACTGTACATTTTTTTGTTCATTCACCTTAGAAATATTTTTGTTTTAGAAAACCAACTTCTTATATTATTTAAATAATTCAGCAGCACTGAAAGTTCCGGATCAGAGATACTTTGGTATCAGATGGGCGCACTACTTTTCCTCTGTACTGATTGGTTGCTGACTTTTATACAGTCCTGAAAGCACTGTCAAGACTCGGTTCATCGGAAAAAATTTTCCCAAGCCAGGGGTGGCATTCTCATTGGAAAATATGCGTTGTAATGATGAGAGCAGCAGCAGGATAATGCATGTGACTAAGTTCTGCACAGATTCGCTTTTCCACTTTTTGAGTATGAAGTACGGGAGCGAGTGCTATAAAAATAACACGTCACAACTCGGGAATGGTGAACCATTCGGCTGATTATCGCAGAGTGGAAATTTTCACTACAGTAAAAGTGCGGCCAAGAAACAAGGCCCTAGTAACTTTAATGTTTACCTTCGGAGTTAACAATGTTTACGTTCGGAACATGAATGATAAAATAGTGCGTGAAAAACAATCCTTCGTTTTCACGGCGTTTGGTTTGAAAGGCAGAATTTTTTTTTTCTTTTTCAGTCAGATGGCGATAAACGATCCTCAAGTGACAGTGATTCATTGATGGCTGCTTTCGATCAAAACCAGGTTGCAGATCAGGTTTGCCACATACGTGACAGTACTATCGTTGATTCGTATAAAATATGAGTATCAAAAAACTAAATGATCCGGAATGTTTCGGCCCATTAAATCGCCTATACATCTTGAGAACTGGATTACGATTTTAACTTCTGTCCAAAGGTTTTATTGGTGTTTGGATGAACTGTTCGTTTTTCAGAACTTGGCAATGGATTGGCTGGATATGATGTTGCCATGTTCGGTCCATGGTGATACTGATACTGGCGTTATTGACTCGATCCGGTGAAATGCTTAACTCATTAAATTTGGCGGTTATCTCGCGAAATTATCTGATTCTTGCCGCAGCTTTACATTCAGTTGCTCATTCCTTTTGGTGCTTCTTACTGATATGAATATGCAAGCTCATTCTTGTTAAGATGACAGTCGTTTCCCAATTATCACAGATCCGCACTCACTTTGGTTTTATTAGCCCTGTGAACTGCTGGAATTGTTGTGTACTGATGTTGGATGCGGGGCGCCTTCTCACATGTTTTCACGTGTCATCAATCCACGGCCCATCCAGATTTTTCATAGTTCATGTCACATGAATGTGAACGAATGAACGCGTAATTGTTATTGATTGATTACTACTAAATATCACAGCTTACTAGGCGTAGCACACTTTGTGCTTGTTTGTCGCCTACAAATAGATTAGGATCCAAACTTTTTATTTTCTTCGCACCCTGGTTTGTAAGCGCTGTCAAATGACCAGTGCTTCAGTGAAGCAGCAATCAGTCTCGAGGACCTGGTGATATTGGCAAAGAAAAAACTGGTTACTCTTCCTCCCGAGAAAAATACGACTTCCCAGAAGAATAGGAATAGTGGTTTTCATGCGGGAGAAGCAACCAGTCAGTGCTTTTTGTTACTCGCTTAGAACTGTGGTATCGAATTGGAAAAAAAGGGACGAAGTGGAGGGACTTTGATCTTCACATTATGCATTTTTTTTTTTTTTTTTGATTTTTATAGCTCTGTTTGCTGTGCCAAAGATTTCCATAGTGCAAGTGTTTGTAGCCTTGATTACATTAATATTTCACTAACTGATTCAGTGCGCTCATACGTTTCGATGTCCAGGTGGCGCAGTATTGTTTTTTTCATTCACATCGCCTTTGTGGGACAGGAATTTGCGAGCAGTAGATTGAATCGAGTGAACGAATTGGGATGAGAGGCGATGTGTTGAAAGCTGCGCTGACCAGTACATATTTATCCAGCGATGCCTTATATTGCTATCACTAATGTTCTTTCATCTTTTCTTGTTCATGGCAATATATAATATATGCCAAAATATTTCATTTAAAAACGTGTAGCATCTAGTTTAGAGTTATTCGTAGTTCTCTGTGTTTCATTTACTCATCAGTGAGGCAGATATCCATTAATTTTATTGAGGGCAAGGTACCTCCCATTTCCAGACGCCTGACATAGCAGGGCTTTTTGTTAAAAGATCGGCTGAAACAGGCGGAAGTAGTGGCTAGTTGCTGTTCAAATGGACAGTATTTTCTGAGAAGTTTGCCTGCAATAAAC